TATTACGATTTGGGGTTGTCAGCCCCACGATCAACCTTCATGCCTTGAAGGAAGAGCTCGGGGCCCCGGGTTTGCTAAGCCCGTAGTACTGATTAAAGCACCCCCCTGGGGGGGATATCAACTATTATATTTATAATTTATATACATTTAAATAAATTTAATACATTAAATATTTCAGACAGATCTCAATTTGCCACTTTAACTGTTATACGAGGGACTCAGTTTACCCCTTCAAATTTTATACGTGGTACTCAGTTTACCAATTTCAATATTATTATTGCAACTCAGTTTACCTATTTTAAAAAAAGATAAATTCGTTTGGGACTCAATTTATCTGCACCCCGCTTGAAGTATCATCCATGTTGTTAAGTGTCATCGATGGGACATGGCAGGTCTTATTCTAACGGTCAGTACGACCCAAATCGGGTAGTAAGAAAAATCAAAAGGGCAGTTGACTTAATGAATATGGGCACCTTACAAAAATATAATTTTCCTTATAGAATGATTGAATTTTAACTGAGTATTTGAAATATGTGTAATTTATAAACACAACCTAGTACCTATTCGTAATAAGTAATAATTTTATAAATTTACAATCTTTGCTACTTCGATGATTGATTAATTTATGAAATTTAAATTTAAACAGTGGTATACGTATAACGTAAAAGATCCGTATTTTTTAAAATATTTTATCACGCAATCGTCAAAATTCTAAAACATCAATATTTTTTTTTTTTTTATTTTTTTTTATTTTACAATTTGAAATACACAATCTATACAACGTAGCACAATAAGTATATATGATATTATAATAGTAACATGATTATTTTGAATTAAGAAATCACCTATTGGTGACCCTTGGCTGGGAATAACGCTGTCTAGAGTCTAGAACTTCATTTATTTTTTTTTTAAATTTTTTTTTTATAAAAGTCACGGCACCAGTTCTTTTTTAGACGATGCCGGGGGTTTCCCGGTATGTTTTGAGTATAGAGGCTCTTTATCAATGGATTTTGGTGGGTTTGTAGGCGATTATGAAAGCGTTTGTAGAAATCTACAGCTTCTTCTGTCACAGTTTTCATTGTAAGGTCTTTATGTAAGGTATAATTGGACACAAAAGGTGGAGCATTTGTAATTTTTCTAAGAGCAATATTCTGGAACTGTTGGATTTTGTTAGTATTAGATACTTTAGCAGTACCCCACAATTGTAGACCGTAGGTCCACATTGGTTTTAATAGTGTTTTATACATAAGAACTTTAACTTTTAGTTTAGAGTGTTTATTATTTGTAAGCAAGGGACGTAGACTGCGGAATCGGGCATTTAAGGCAAGTCTTTTGATACGGATGTGGGCGTTCCAAGTAAGGCGTTTATCCAAATTGAGTCCTAGGTATCTAACTGTGTTAGACATTTGAATCGGAACATTATTTAAAGAGACATTTAGACAGAAGGAGTGACATAAAGTGAAAGTTGTATGTACTGAATTATTTGGATTTGGTTTAATTCGCCATTTCGTGTACCATTCTGACAATAAATTCAGATAAATTTGAAGGTTCCAAGATGCAATTTGGAGGTTTTTGTCAATTGAGATTATAGCTTTGTCATCCGCGTAATCGGCTACTATAGTATTTTGAGAGACAGGCTGGTCTGATGTGTATATATTGAATAAAATGGGTGAGAGGATTCCACCTTGAGGGACACCAGCGAAAATGTTTTCAATTCTCGAGACAGAAGATCCAAACCGGATTTGGAAATGGCGGTTAGTTAGATAAGACTTAAGCAGTAAGTATAAGGAGGGGGAAAGAAATTTTTTTAATTTGAAGAGATGGCCTACATACCAAACTCTATCAAACGCTTGGCTTATATCGAGAAATGCACAAGTGCAGTAATATTTTTTTCCAGAGAAAATGAGATGGCGTCAACTAATCTGTGTAATTGATGTATTGTGCTATGCGCCAAGCGAAAGCCAAATTGAGAGTTTGGTAGGATTTTATTCGTGACGATATAGGGTAAAAGCCTTTTGAGTATTAGTCTTTCTAATACTTTTGCTAGAAATGGCAATAGGCTTATTGGTCTATATGATGAAGGTAAGTCCAGTGGTTTGTCAGGTTTGGGAATTAAAATTATATTGGAGAATTTCCATAGGAGTGGAAAGTATGATAGACGTAAAATTGAATTAAATAAATGGGTTAGGAATAGGATAGCTATTTTCGGTAGGCACCTATCGACTTCAGCGGTAATTAAGTCGAAGCTGGGTGATTTTTTAAGAGAATACTTTTGTATTGTAGATTTAATTTCGTTTGGTGTAAAACTTTTTTCGGGAAGATAAAGAGGCATGGGAGAGTCAAGATACTAAGTTATTTTTGCGCTGAGAATCGGGTTAAAGATATCAGGGTGTGGCTTAAATATTTCAGATAGGTGTTGACGGAAAACTTCGATTTTTTCTTCATCAGTTATAGCAATAGTAGTGTCATTTTTTGTTAAGTGTGGTAAGCTAGCCTTACACCGTAGAAGTTTATTTGTTTTTTTCCACAGGCTGCCGTCTGAGGAGGATATATTTGATAATTTTTGTTCTAGGATATCTGATTTATATTTTGAAAGATATTTTTTAAGCGAGTTGGCTAGTTTATTGTATATTACTTTATGAGAAGGTAGGCGAGAGGTTTGATACCGTGCTCTGGCTTTCCTTTTTTCAGCTATTAGCGAGCGTATGTGTTGTTGGAGAAAAGGGTTTTCGGGAGTCCGAGAAATATTTGAACTTGACTGTGACTCTCAAGCCGCTGTTTGGATGATAGAAGTGAATTTATCCACTGCATTTTCAATATCGTTATATGTTTTTAATTTGAAATTTAGATTTATCTCTTTTTCTACTAGGTTTTGGAATTTGATACGGTCTGTTAGCGGAGAGAAAAGTTTAGGAGATGTCATTTTAACTGTTGGAGAAGCACTGACCGTTACTAGAACTGATGAATGGTCAGAATTTAGATCTAAGATATTTTCCGGGGTGCAGTTTAAATTACTTGGCACTTTACTAACAAATATGTCTAGTATATCAGGTTTTTTACGTATAAAAGATGGCCAGTATATGGGACCCGGTGGAGCCAATACCCTGTATTTTTTAGCATTGGTAAAATTGTGGAGTACGTTACCACTCGGGTTGGTTGCGCGACACCCCCAGCTTTGGTGTTTCGCGTTTATGTCGCCACCAAGTATGAAATTGGAGTTAATTGTTGAGAAGTAGTCGTGAAATTGAGGAATTGAGATGTTGTGTCTCGGAGGACAGTAGATTGAGGTTATAGTGATCGGTATGTTATTTAGCTTAATTGAGACAGCACAAGATTGTAAATAATCACAGGTAAAGTTTGGTAGTGGTGATAAAGACAGGGTTGATTTTATGATGATGGCAACACCACCATGAGCCGTGTTGTCTAGTTGATTCGACTTGTAGGTAATACAACCTAGGATATGTACCTGGGAATATTTGGTTAGGTTAGTGTGTCTCGGTTATTAACGCAATATCGATACGTTTTTCGTATAGAACAGTTTGTATTTCGTTGACGTGGTTTTTTAAACCATTTGCATTAAAAAGGAGAATGATAAGAGACGTTTTTGTGGGCGAGTTATTTATCATTTTTATTATTTAAAAGTGATGAAATAACTTGTGTTAAGAGGGCAATTAAGGGATTAATTAGTGATTTAAAGTTGTCAAAAAAATCTGACATCATTTTGTTAATGTCTTACGTTGAATAAGGATGATTGCTGTGACCTGAATTAGTTGTTTCGTTATATGTAGTTTGGGCATATGTTTTAGGAGGAAAGTGGGTGTTGGAATTATTATTTGTCGATAATGGATTATTTTCTTTTACATTGAAATTATTATTATTAGAATGATTTAAGTTAACATTATCATGAAGAAATTTACTTTTGTTGTTGGGCTTGTTTCGTCGTTGGAGTTCCTTGAAGACATTGCATCCTCGGTAGTTGGCAGAGCGGCTGCTCGAGCACAGGGCACATTTGGCTGGGTTTTCCCTTGGTTTGATGCAGTCTGAAGTTAGATGTGAATTTCCACATTGGACGCAGCGAGGAGGGTATCCGCAGTATGAACGAGTGTATCCATAATCTTGGCAATTTTGACATTGAGATATTGTTCTTGGCTTATACGGCTCCTCAACTTTGATTTTCGTATATAGAAGTGAAGTTAATTGGAAAATTTCCAGTGACTTTTCAGATTTTTCTAAGTCCACAAAGAATAAGGGTAGGGGAAGTTTAGTTGTTTTATGTAAAACATTGGTCACTTGTTTAACAACAAATGATAATTCAGTTAATTCATTTTTAATTTCATTGACATCAGTGGAAGGGTGAATATTTCTAATTACTACTCTGGTCGGTTTATCTAGTGTTAGCTGATATGTATGAAATTGGGCATTGCCATTTTTAAGATAATTAACTAGTAATCTGTATGCCTCTGGAGTTGCAGTTTGGATTTTTAATTTATCCATAGAAGATTTGCAGAAAAATTTATCTTTGCCAATAAGTACGCTTATTTCATTACAAAGATCTTTAAACTCTAATACACCTCTGACGAAAATTGGAAGTGGAGGTTTAATTAGTTCGTCCGGGATAACTTCGTTAGATATAGCTGCTTGTGGCGTAGTAGCGACAACTTCGTCATCATTTTGGGATAGAACTTCAAAACGATTGGTAGTTATGAATAGTGGTTTTTTTGGTTTTTTTGTTTTTCGGTAGTGTTGGTGATTTCATACTTGCACTTGATGACGTAGAGATATTTTTTTTATTTTGGTTTTTATTATTTTTAATTTTCCAGTCATTATCTAGGTCATTCATTAAACTTGAATTGGCCGCTAATGCGTTTTTACCTTTCTTATTGATAAGATGGATAGGGGTAACGGTTTTATTTTGGACATCATTATTGTTAGACATTTAATGAAATAGTCGATATCGGTAATAACCTGTAGGCTTGACCTTCAGATAAGAACGATTTGCAATTGCCGCCAACGGCGTTGTAATTTATTTAATAAAATAAAATTAACTATTTCGCGTTCACTCGTTCACTTTATTTAGTTAAACTAAGACAAGTGGATGTTATTTAATATTTTAACTAAGACATTGTTGTGTAGAAACAAACGCGAAGAGAAGAAAAAATAAATATATAATAATATGATAATAAAATGATGAAAGTACGAACGAGCGCTCCACCGTGTGTGTACATCGAACGACGACACGGAACTGAAAATATCAATATACAATTTATTTTGGGAGGGTTTAAGTATTATAATCCAGATAAATTTCATAAAACAAACTTTAAGTGTATTTGAGCAGTAGGTTAGCCCCACCATCTACCATGTTAATACGGGATCCAACCAGCTGCCATCAAAGTTCGGATATTCACCATTATGGCATTTGGCCACGGGATAGGGCAAGTGATCCGAGTCGAGCGTGAGACGCGACAGGCCGCCCGGGCCACGTAAAAACGGTAATATGCTCATTTACAAATAAATACAGTTTACAGGGTAATCAAATACCCGTATATTTATAGAAATACATATAATTACAATCACATTATAATATTTAGGGGTTCATAACAACTGAGACCCGAATTCGAGGGATGGTCGCACCTCAAACCCACAAGCTTTCATCGACGAATTCGAAGTAAATTATGATCGCCAAAAGGCCTCGTGGCAGCAGAAGCCGCTGCCCCGTGTAACCTTTGAAACAAGTTTGCTGTTCGGGGAGACGTATTAAATATATTCATCTTCCCCTCGCCACAAGAGAGTATTTAAATACTGTTATTCACAATCGGCGGACCCACTCTAGTCGCAAGAATCAGTGCAAAGCAGCGGCTAGGGAGATAAAATGAACAATAGTAATATCAAATTTTTAAATAAATTGAATCACATAAGTTTGCGTGCACTCTTGAATATAATATTTATTAATTTTTTTAATTTTTTAATTGCTTTTTTTTTGTCATTAGAAATTAACCATTTGAATATTTATTTTTTAAATTAAAGTTTTTTAAATTTTCAATATTTACAGAGCATTGTTATATCCACGATGTTATGTACATGAGAGTTTTGAATTTTCACTAAAATCTATAAAACATATGTATTAAATATCTATCTAATTTACAAGGAGACACAAGCCTTGGTATTGAAGTTTTTATGGGGGTTTAAATTTGTTATGAAAAAAAGGGGGATACAATTTTGAATACCCTCGTTAATTAATTATTTTTGGGCATTCGGGTTCGTGACAGCTTTGTGTAAATAAAATAAAAAATAAATATTCATTGTGGCGGGATATTTGTTCTTTTGTTACAAGTAAAGATAATGATTTGAATTAAAAACAAAATTTGGTGTATTGTATTATGTAAATCATTGAACATCGAACATTATATTATATTTAATGTGTTATAAATTTAAATTTATATTATAATTTAATATGTTAATATTTAAATGGTATAGATTAATTACCATTAAATACCATTTAACATTTTAATATCCACCCATACTGGATATTGAAGAGTTATTGCCAAAGTCTCAACAATTCATATCGATTTTATAATTTATTACGAACCGAAAATTCAAAAATTTACAGCAGTATTATAGGTACTCGAGGTATATTTAAATTTTTAAGAATCTTAGTGTAAAGAGAAATGTATAAGATATAATATAAGTTGTATAAGGTTTAAGAATGAAGTTAGTGTAGTTAAACATGAATAAATTTTCAAATAGTACCTAATTAGATTGAAAATTGGATTCAACAATATTTCCTAGGGGTGTTTTATTTTTATTTTGTTGTTTTGGTTAAATAAAATGATAAATAAATACAAATATTTCTAATTTTTATCAATTTGTATTGTAATCATATGAACTTTTAAGTTTGATGCATAAATTAATAAACAATCATTTAAATTAATAATGGTATGGTTTTATAAATAGTTTTTTTTTTTTTTTTTTTTGTGAATTAAATAGGTAAACTAAATAGGTAGGTTTTTGATTTTTGTGTTTTCGGACATTTTCATTATGAGAATACGGAATATTTATTATTGAGAGAGTACTTGAGTTGTACATAAGGTGACCAAATATTTTTCTAGTAAAAACGGGGGAAAAAAATAAAAAAAATGAAGTACTACCATGGTTTTAAGGAACAAAAAAATGTAATTAATCAATTACACTTATTAATAAGTATTTCATTTTTATTATAAACACCTTTCTTTATATATATATATATATATATATATATATATATATGTATTTGCACTGTTATTGCGGTGTTTATATGTATAATGTATATTTTATTATTGCAGTTATCTGTTCCGATTAATCACATGCAGTCCTCAGTTCTACCGTTCGCCGTCGTCACTTGTCACCGTCCACCATGAAGTAACACGGTGTATTCACGTCACATGCACACATGCTAGTTAAATATAATAGAAACAATAATTCATCAAATAATTAGAATGACCATGGTTATATTTTAATACTTTTTGAAAATGGGACATTTTATTTTCCCGATGGTTTCGTGGTAGACAACAGGACTGTTTCGTTTAAAACAGAACGTGTCACCTCGGTTATACAGTAAAATCACGATAGCTCAAATAAAATATGGTCACTTTAAATGCGTTGCAACACAATTTACATAATATACCTTTTACACAAATTAATATGACCCACTCAAAGTTTGAATTTTATCTCATTCTTTACCAGTGTTCTGTTCGAAAACACATAATGTAAATTAAAATTTGGTCAATTTTTTTTATGCTTTTTACTTTAGGTTAGAAATTATACATTAGACATATGCGAATTACCCGTTTAGTCAAAATTTGTGGTTCAAAAATTATATAATAAATTATATTATATTATATTATATTTTTAAACTTATTAATAAAATACTAATGATTGATTTAAAAAAATAAATGTACTATTTAATTTTAGTAAGAAAACACGGGCTGCTTTTCTGGGTTAAACCTACTCATTATTTGAAAAAAAAACCATAAAAACCTGGACTGTTTTTCTAGATAAAATAAAAATTCACTCTTATTTTCTTTTTAATTTTTGTTCAATTTCAAAAAAATTTACCTTGTAGGTGTTATTTATTTTTCTACTTAAAGTATTATACAGATTTGAAAATAATTTAATAAATATTTTTTTAATTAGGTTGGTACAAAAATATAAAATGGAAAAAATTACATACCAATGGTCAAGAGAAATGTTAACAATCTTTTATTTTTAATAAGATGTTAGCATTGATTAAATATATATTTAATTAATGATATAAGGTAACTTTCTTGTAAATGCTTAATAAATAATCCAAACAAAATAACAAATATCAATGCATCAATTCTGACTTTTTTTGAATGGGTTTTCCAGAAAAAACCAGATTAAACCACCCATTTATACTTTTAAATAAAACCACTGGGTTCTTTGATGGATTTTTTCTGAAAACACCTGATAAAACCACCCATTATTACTTTTACATTAAAACTCACTGAGTTTTTGGATTTATTTGAAAAATTTGAAAAACCCTACGGGTTTGGGTTTTATATACCCCGGATTGTAGCCAACCCTGATCTAAAGCGGACTACACACGTGTAGTTAAAACTGTACGATTCGATTGTACAGTTTTATCTGTACACATAAATCGTTTTACATTTCAGCATACACACATTCAGTTAAAACTGAGTGATTTTACAGTACAATTAGAATAAATCGTGGAGTAATAGTCGATTAACATGACGAAGACAAATGACGCTCTTGCGATTCTCGGATTAATGTGTGTTTTAAAAAATAAAAGACGTAAAAAACGTAACTTATGGTGTAAACAATGGTTGTTAAAAAAAAGTGAATATTCACATACAAATTTGATCAACGAATTGAGAATTACTCTAAAAGATTATTATTTACTTGAGGATGAATGAAGATAATTATTTGCACTTAATTTCTTTAGTTAGGTTAATTTTGCATAAGCAGCATCTTTTTTGCTTCGATCATGATAATCTTTTTGCTTAATTTTCTATAGACACGATTCTGAACAATACATTTCAATAAATTCTTCCGTCAACTCACGTATTTTTGTTGCCATAATTTAAATGGCGAGCAGGGGCGGAGTGGGAACAAAATTCAGGCCAGGAAATTTAAATTTATCCAGGCCACCTACAATTTACCAAATAAATCACCAAAAAAATTTTTCTTCCTACGCTCGAATGATACATTTCTATTTACTTATTTCAATAGAATTATAAAAATACATTTCATTTTATTTATAATAATATTTATACTTTCAATATAATAAAACTATAAAAGTATTTCAATCACTATTTTGCTATTTCGTTTAACTTATAATATGTTATATTAATATACCACTAATACAGAAAAAATTTAATTAGAATAGCTGAAACTTGAAATAAACACAATATTAATAATAATTTTATATGTATATATATATATATATATATATATATTGTGTTTTAATGGTCCAGGTGTAGTCATTAGTAACAAATGTAATTATAATAAAGAAACATATAAATTATAATTTATAATAAAAATAATAAATTATTAAAAATTATATAAGAAATATTTATATATTTATAACAATAATTTAGATAGAAGCTTAAGATTTTTCACCAATTGCATTTATTATAGTATTGTTATCTATTTCCATCAGTATTGTATTCTTAATTGCCATCAGCATAAAATACTCAAGTCTTCAAGGTTGAAAATGACCTTTCACAAGCCATTAGAGTAACAGGGAGGGTTAAAACGTATTAATATGCTATAGTTAATGTAGGGTAAGTATTTGCAAATAAATTATATTTAACTAATAAAATGTAACAACATATTACACAATTTTTACAAGACTTATTACAAAGCTTCATAACATCCATAATCTCTAGGTCTTCATTTTTTAGGTCTGTTCATTATAGTCCTCATCAACAGATTTTTTATACAAAATTAAAAGTTCACGCGTTAAATACGATTTACTAAGAACATAATATTACAATTTAAGGTTAACAATTTGTTTTTTTATATAATATAAAATAATTTCAAAATCTATTCTAAAATTCCTAACCTATCAATTCATCTTGTGTATCCCACTCAACTCCACTATTAGCTCTTTTTTAAATTAAAAATGATCCCTACCATATATAGAACATTTTACATGTTACAGTGATAAGTAGGGGCTTCACCCCACACTGAATACTAACTCTATCAAACTTTTATAAAAAAAAAACCTTTATACGAAAAATTGACAAACTGCGAGCGACTAACAGATGATTTCACGTAATAAAATAACATATCTTTCTATAAAATATTTCAAATATATGTTTCTAAACATGAATCCTCGTTTTCATCACTGAATAAGAAGCTATACGATGTTTCTGGTCAACTGCGGGACTTAGGTGCTCGTACTTCAGTGCTCGAAAATAGAGTAACCCTACTAGAAAATCAATTATCTAGTACTAACGCTTCTAACTCTCCCGCAGACGAGACTGTAATATCTGAAGTTATAGTTCGACAGGCAAGATCACGTAATTTAATTATTTTTAATGCTGCTGAGACTGACGGAAATAATGAAGATGACTTATCGCTAATTAAATTTGTCTTACATTCTATTACTCCTAATATTGCTCCAGCATTAGTCTCTAGACTAGGCCAAAAATCAAATAAACCTCGACCACTTAAAGTTACTTTACATGAGCCATCCGATGTCTTTATCGTTCTCAAAAATAAATACAAACTACGCACGTCTACTATCTATAGTTCCATCCGTATATCTCCAGATCGTACTATTATGCAACGTAATCAACTTCGTAATATCTTAGTGAAGCTCGAGGAACGCAAAGCAGCCGGGGAATCCAACTTAGTGATGAAATTTGTCAAAGGTGTTCCAACCATTTCAAAAAACTAACAAACGGGCCAATTCACAATAACTTATTTCTCTACTATCAAAATGTTCGTGGACTCAATACCAAATTAAACGTTTTAATGCGTAATTGTATATTTATCTGACTATGATTTTATCGGCTTATCTGAAACTTGGTTATCTCCAAATATCAATACGTCTGAACTAGGTTTATCTGGTTATAGTACTTACCGTTGCGATCGTAATCAGATTACTAGCAACCGTTCTAGAGGTGGGGGTATTCTCCTCTCAATTAATAATAAATTTCATTCTCGTTTATTACCTGTACCTACCAGCCCAGTTGAACACATATTTGCCATTATTAAAACAAACAATAATTATATTATAATAGGTAATGTTTATTTTCTACCTCACACTGATATCGTAACTTACAATGCACACTTTGATATCATTAATAATTTACTTTTAAGTTTTCCGTTTGTAAAAAACGTATTATTGGTTGGTGACTACAATTTACCTAAACTTCAATGGTACGCTACCTCTAATGGATTTTTTCCTAATATACTGAACTTAAATAATTTAGAATCAGAATTCTTATCAAAATTATCTTTCCTAAATCTTTCTCAATTTAATAATGTTCATAACAGCATTGGTTCATTATTAGACTTAGTTCTCTCTGATTTAAATAATTTATCTGTAAATAAATCAGTAAATCCTCTTATCCCTTGTGATATTTATCATCCGGGCTTATTAATTTCTATCCCCATAGTTATAAGTGAACCAATCGAATATAATTTATGTATGTATAATTTTTTTAAATGTAATTACGCTGATATAACTTTTAGCTTAGCATCGATAGACTGGAACAAACTATTTAAATATCTTAGTATTAATGAAGCTGTCGACTTGTTATATTCTATTATTTATGATATCATTGATATATTTGTACCTAAAATAATTAAACGGCAGTGTCACTACCCTCCATGGTATGGTAAAAAATTAAAAGAAACAATTTTTAAAAAAAAAATTGCCCATAAAATGTTTAAGAGTTCTGGTTTGGTGAGTGATTACAATTCTTTTTCTAATCTTCGTGGGAGATGTAAGTTTCTCTCGAAAAAAGATTATCAAAATTATATAATTCAAATTCAAACTAATTTAAAAATCTGTCCTAATAAATTTTGGAAATTCATAAACAGTAAACGCAAAAATAACTTTTTACCAAATTGTATGCATTTATATTCAGATGAATTTAATACTAGTAATGACATTATTAATGCTTTTGCTAATTACTTCTCTAGTGTTTATGAAAACTATGATTATGTTAATGACGTTAATATTAATTTAAAGCATCAAATTCCATCTCCAGTTCTTTCTTCTTCGCTCCACTCATGTTCAATTGATTTAATTGAGGTATTTGATTCATTAGGCTCCTTAAGTTCTAACTCTAGTCCTGGTCTCAATTTTATTCCTAACATTTTCCTAAGGAACTATAAATTTGTGATTTCCTTTCAGTTACATTACTTATTCAATTTATCACTCTCTCTCGGCATTTTTCCTGATTATTGGAAAACTAGTTTTATTCGACCAATTCCAAAGTCTTCTTCTGATTTATCAAATATTGCAAACTACCGTCCAATATCCCTGCTTTCTCTTATACCTAAATTATTTGAATCGATAGTAGCAAATAAGATTTTGCCTGTTTTGAATCATGTAATAATTGATGATCAACATGGTTTTCGACGAAAAAAAAGAACAATTACTAACTTACTTAACTTTCGAAATTTTGTATCTGACGCCCTTTCTCGTGGATCAAATGTTGACGTCATATACACCGACTTAGCTAAGGCATTCGATAAAATTAACCATCAAATCCTGTTTTCAAAATTGAAACAAATTGGTATTTGCGGCTTTTTTTTATCCTGGATTATCTCCTTTATTGAAAATCGTCAGCAAATCGTAGTTTACAAAGAATTCTTTTCTATTCCAATAGGTGTTACATCGGGAGTTCCAAAAGGGTCCCATTTAGCGCCAATACTATTCCTTATTTTTATTAATGACATTCTATTTCAAAATTGCTCTAAATTAATGTTTGCCGATGATATAAAGATTTTCCGTACAGTTAATAATCAAAGTGAAGCTGATTTACTTCAGCTTGATTTAAATTATCTCTATGAGTGGTTTACTTACAATAATTTTACTCTTAATATTAATAAATGCCAATTAATGACATTTTCCAGAGTTCGAGTAGTTTCTTTTTTTGATTATAATCTCAATGGTGAACCATTACTTCGGACTTTTGGGCCAATTAAAGACCTTGGTATTTATTTTGATCCCAAACTCAAATTTGACTGTCATATTACGAACATAGTTAACAGGTCAAATAAAATCCTTGGTTTTATCTATCGTAATTGTGCTGATTTCGATGATTCACTTACTTTGAAGTCAGTATATTGCAGCTTGGTTCGATCTATTTGTGATAATATGGTCTCCATACCAATCGGGTCATAAACATAAAATTGAAGAAATTCAACACAAGTTCTTACGTTTCCTCTCGCATAAATGTTCAATAATTAGAGAACCCCATTCTTCTTACAATCCACTATTAACGTTTCTTAACATCGAAACACTTGAACAACGTCGTTTGCGATTAGAATTGTATTTTGCCTATAAACTCCTTACAGGACTTATTGACTGTCCTGAGTTTCTATGTCGTTTCTCCTTCCACACCCCATATCGCAACTCCCGATCTAAAAACACTTTTTACCTCAACACCGAAGTAACTAATTACGCAAGCAATAATCCTCACAATAGAATTATGAAAACTATAAATAAATTAAATATCGATATGTTCATTTCACCAAACTTTAACTCATTTAAATTTTATTGTAATTTATTTCTTATTAATTCATAGCTTTAAGTATATATATTAATTTATATTGTACATTCATTGATTTTTTTTCTCTCTGTATCTCTCCTTATTGCTTTTTGTTTATAATTATTAACCAGTAATGAACGATTGTTATTATTATTATTATGTATGTAATTGGGCTTTGCCCGTTTAAAACTTTAATAAATAAATAAATAAATAAATAAATAAATATAGATTATTTTAAATCCCTTCGACAAAGTAAATTATGTTGTATTTCTCAATTGGACATATTTTTCAAGTTAACTGCACATTTTATATTTCCTAATACACAATTAGTGTCTTACTGCACCTTACAATAAAGCCTACTACACAGTAAATACTTATACATTTTATAAATAATTATAAATATATTTATGGTACACAATATTGTTTCCTAAGCACTTATAGTTAAATCTAGAAAAATACTAGGCCTCAAAATTATATAAATTAAAAATAATCAATCCACTTATTTTCAGAATTTGGATCTCCGACTAACAATTGACTATCTTTGCTATTGGTCACCTCAGTAGGTGTACTTTTGCGAAAAAATGAATCTAATCGATTAAATTTTTCAGCACATTTTTCAAGTAATTTCTTGTTTTTTTCACGATCTCTGTCTGCCCCTTCTTTCCTTTTTTATCCATCATTTAATATTACCGTATGACTAATAATTAAAAACTTAAATTTTCATTAAAAAGCTCAGTATAAAAACGCGAAAAACGTGGTTGAAAAACACACTTATCACCAGTGCACAAACATTAATAAGTATAACACTTGGCAATCATAATCTTAACCATAACATATCTGCATGCGAAGTTTGAGTTTATTACAGATATTATTTATAAAAATAACATTAATCAATGCGACCAATATTATAAAATGATTTATTATTTAGATGTAATATTAGATATTATCCGATCAAAACAATTATATATCGGCGTATTATTATATTCGTCGCCACTCTAAAGATATACAACTTTCAGGTTTCAACAGGCGTCTAATCAGTAATTTATAATTTCTCAGTAATTAGTTCTGCCGGATTGTATTCTAGACTTGAGATAATACCTACACTTCTCAGTATTCGGATATTTAATTATAAAAATAACCAATTGACGTGTCATCGATTTTGATTTTATTTAATATTTATATTTAAGTAATATTTTGTAATTTTATATCTGACGGCCTATACTTTATCATATTCATACGGGACTATTAAAATGTAACACAATTTTATTAATAATTTACCAAGTACGATAGTTTCGTAGTTTCAAAGTTTTAATACAAAAATATTGTTGACGCATTTTCTAATTTTGTAAATAAAATTTAATATAAAATTACCAGGCCATAATATGGTCATAATATGGTCCAGGCCATCTGAAAATTTCCCAATTCCATACCGGCCACTCCGCCCCTGATGGCGAGGATAATAAATAATAGTATAAAATACGTCGTTATTCAATTTTTAAAATTACGAATTGACTTTGCCGTTTGGCTGTAATGAAATTAAAACTGTACAGTGTGCAGTTTGGCTACACACGGATCGCCTTATTTGTGCAGTTTAATTGTCGCAGTTTTATCAATTGGTACTTTCAATTTATTTCTGATCAACTGCATAGTTATAAAAATTATGTCGTATTAGCCTACACACGTAAGAATTCTCTGTATAGTCGAATCGTACAGTTTTAACTGCACGTGTGTAGCCTACTTTAAGCATAAAATATAAATTCTAGAGAAATGAATTTATTACCTGTGTGTATGATATATGTATATATACATATATGTATGGTAAATAATCTTTAAATACATATATCTTAAATATTAATACATTACCATTAATATATTAATGTATATTATTCTATATAAATTACTTCCACTGTTATATGGATATAATGCATAATTTTACAGTTTTGATAACTAATTTATAAAATTGTAAAAACTACTTAAAGATGAACATTTATAGGTTTAACCAATTTTGTTCATTTTGGTTATTGTGGTGGACATTTTTTAAGGAATATGATAATTTTAATAAAAATAAATTATACAAACCCTAGTGGAATATGATATTTTAAGTATAATTTTGAATGTAAATTATTCTTTTACATGTATTTCATGAAAAGCAGATAAATACATTTTTTTT